ATATATACTGTGTATACATACATACACACACAATTTTTTTTAACATTATGTTCACTAGATAGAACTGAGCAGCATTGGAAATATTTATTCGTAGGACTGGTTATTGCTGATTTTGGGGCCAGTATTTCCTATACAGTGGTATTTCCTATGACAGTGTTTATAGAAACCAGAACAAAATATGGACCATTTATGTTATAAACTACTACCCAGTGCATGACTGGTGAACAATAACTCTTTTCCAGGTTTACAGATACTATGTTATTCCCCTGCTGTGTGTACATTCAAATGGAAAAGTTGACTTTAATGTTGATCAATTATTAACCTTTCAAGCTAAATAGTGATTAAATATACAGGCGTGTCCTATACATGAATTATGAGTAGATTAACAATTTTTAACCAAATGCAGTAGTTAATCAAGTGGCAAACCCAAGCAAGCATGTAGTTTGGAGTTTGGGTGATGAGATGTTTACAAGTGAAAGGTTTACCATTTTTAGCACTGCATGATTTAATAGGGGTTGTCAAATATTTTTTATAAATAACAGTCGAAACAATGAAATGAACAGCTGATGATTCTCTGTAACATAATATTTCATGCATAATTAATTCCTAAGTATATAAAATACCTAATAATAATAATAATGTTTCATGTGGTATATACTGTATTCCTAAATAAACTAAATGTTTTATTTGGTAAATATTTCTAAAATGAATAAAATAATATGCTATGTGGTATATCATTCTTTAGAAATAAAATAAATATTTTATGTATACTCCTAAATAAATAAAAGTAATAATAATATGTTTCATGTAGTAGGTATAATCCCAAAGCAGGGCGGGACATACTTCCACCTTGACTTTTATAGGAGACAGACTTAACTTAATAACAATGTGTAGTTTTATTTGGGTACTATACACACACAGGGTTTAGAAAGACTGACAGCCTGGCGTCTGTAGAGGGGCTTGTACTAGTTAAAGAAGTACCCCAGGATTTATTGAAATTAACCTTTGCAGTTCAAGGGTTAAGTGCTCGTTTTGGTCTAGGGGCCAAAATAAATATATTCACCTGACCCTTGGTCCTGCAGCAGTAAGCACTCACCTCTGTTCCAAAACAAGCACTTACCCCTAGACCCACTGCAAGGGTTATTTTTAATGAATCCTGGTGCTCTTCTCTGAAAAGTGGTACAGTAGTTTTTTTAAAAGATTGAATGTGGTAGGCTGAGTCACCCGCAAGGACTGCAGCAGCAAGATTTCCCCTGCATAGTTCTTGTCCTTCTGTAGCTTTCTATTTAATATAAAATACATTAGAGACTCAAACTAGAGCTCAGGACACGTATAATATTTTTGCTGCGTATTCCTTGTGCCCTCTTATGTCAGCATGTCAGGAAGCTCTTGGGACCCTCTCATTAGAGGCAGCCAACTATCCAAGTTGCATTGTGTGCACAACATGTTCTGCAAACCCAACGATACAAGAAAGATACTCAACACAAAGATAGCTGAGTCCCAAAATCAGCCATTGACCAGAGACCAGTCGACAGAATGCCCAATGTACACCAGCACAGAGCCATCATAATACTTTATATCACAGTAATAAGGTGAATGTACTGAAACACCAGATGTGAGAACTTTCTTGCATGAAGAACAGTAACAGTGTATCCCCTAAAGCAGTGGTTCTCAACCTGTGTAACCTCGGGACCCAAAACGAGTTGAGAACCACTGCCCTAAAGGGTACCTGTCAGGCATTTTTAAACTTTTAAAACTAAATGTTAAAAGTAGCGTCACTTCACTACCTGGGGCCATGACTAAGCCCTACCTGCTGATGACCCCTGTCAAGTGACAGAGCCTTTATTGGCCTCTAAGGTTCTTGTATTGGCTCTTGGTATTGGTCAATGGTGGTTGGAGAGGCTTCACCTTAAACTCAAGCAACAAAAGCCTCAGTAACAAACTGAAACTAGATTCAGAGAGGCTCATAGAGGAGAATCAGTTCTAAGGGCCCATTCACACCACATCCAGATCATCTCCAGACCAGACCAGATTGTTTCTGGACCCAAAATGCATCCTAATGCATCCTAATGTATCCCTATGTTACTTCTGGCCTCTGTTCACACCAGCGCAGTCCTTCCAGACCAGACCAGAAAAATACTGCATGTCTCATTTTGTCTGGTCTGGGATACACTTGAACTGCGGGCAGGTTCAAACCATTTTCCGGACCGGATCTGGTCCGGAAAATGGTGTGAACCTACCCTTAGGCAGGACTTTTAACTCAACCTTAGTTTGACCATGTGCAGAATTTGCCACTGTTTATTTTACAAGTGTCAATACTGTACCTCAGGGCTAGGCATCGTCGGCACTCCAGCTGTTGTGGAAGTACAAGTCCTATGAGGCATTGCAAAACTGACAGGCATAATGGGCTTTGTAGTTTCAGCACAGCTGGAATACTGAAACTGGAGTGCCTAGGTTGTCGACCCCTGCTCTACCTCTTCTGACCAACCCGTCTGTGAAATCAATGCTTTGTTGGCTACTCAGCTATTCACCATTGCAAAGCACCAGCTGCCTCTGAGCATCGCCTGGTTTACTGGCATTGGGAAGTTTCCACATATGGATATACATGTGTTCTGGATCCTGTGACAGAAGATTATGGAAAAGGAACTCAGAGAGGCCAGCCATGATGGTTCAGCCGCTTATCCGCCTGTGGCATAGTCATGGCTGTAATTGTTTCCTCTCTTTAACACTTTACTTGTGTTGATCACCCTAATTAAAAGCTTGTGTAAAGCAACATAAAAAGGACCTATAGGTTAAAGAACCTGATAATAATCATTTTTATAACCAAAGAAAAAAAAAAAACTTCTGCAAACTTTTTTAAAAAGCTGCAAGGTGATCAAAAATCTGTCATATAAAATCAATAAAGATGTCATAAAAAGAACCTTTTATTTTTCTTTTTTTTATGACTTTATTATCCAACCACAAATACAACCAGTCCTTAAACATCCTCAGTAAGCTCCTTTGCCCTATTTTTAGTCCAAGTTACTATGGAAATGTCATGTTACTTAGATTACTGTGCTGTGATTGTTTTCTGGCATTCACACAGATCAAATGAAAACCAGAATAGAGAGAAAAAAAAAAAGAAGGTTCGCAAGTAACAGAAGCCGCGTTGTTTCACACAATGGAATTTTGCATAGTTCACAGTGGTGCCACTATGTGTTGTTGGGGCTCCAGATCCTTCCCTATATTAGGGCCCCAGGGCGTTCCCTATATCAGGGATCACAGACGCACCTCACAGCAAATTGACGTAGCTCCTGAACTATACACATATTAATTTTAATCTCATCACATCCGAAATGATGTTACTATATCAATAATCACTGTATCTATTCAGACGAAGGAGTCTGAACTATGTGATATTATAATATAAAAAAACGGAAAAAATTGTAAGCGCACTACTGTGGATATTGATATATGCGGTTAGCAGTATAGGGTGTGCGGACTACTTAAACAGGGAGAGGAACCCTGTGTGCAGAATTAACAAAGAGAGACAAAGAAAAGAAGCGCTACTACCCACGGATTATAAATGCATAATTGATCAAAGTTAAATTGAGTGTAATTCATGGAAGGCATGTATGAAAAAAAGTGGAAGGTGACTCACTGTTAGATGGAGGTGGTAGGTAGGTAAGTAATCGCTGGTGAAAGAATAGATGGTAGTGCCGGCCGATGGAGGCCAATGGAGGCACTACCAACACATCCAGTGCCTAGCCCGTTCCCAGCTACGGTCGCCTGACGCTATCTCCAGCCAGCGGCTCCTCTCCCCGGGCTCCAGCCACTGGATCCGATTTCCTCCATCGGCCGGCACTACCATATATTCTTTCACCAGCGATTACTTACCTACCTACCACCTCCATCTAACAGATCTAACAGTGAGTCACCTTCCACTTTTCTTCATACATGCCTTCCATGAATTACACACAATTTAACTTTTATCAATTATGCATTTATAATCCGTGGGTAGTAGCTCTTCTTTTCTTGGTCTTTCTTTGTGAACTATGTGATATGCCCATAGAGCATGGGTGGGCAATATATTTTCTCAAGGGGTCACATGAGAAACTGGGAATGATGTGGAGTGCTAACAACCAATGACTGCAGAGGAGCTGGACACCTTACATTAATGATTGCTAGGATGCCAGCGGTCCTAGCAACTAATGACTTAAGAGAAGGGGGCCTGCACTGGACTATGGCTTGCAGTAGAAGCACCAGCCCTGGAGGCCGGTGTATCCACTGTCAGCCAGCGATAGCACAGGTCGGTGATCGGTTTGTGTCCAGACTGTGGGACAAAGGGGGACAGCCAAAGAGCAGGAAGTGACCAACATGCCATAAAATGTCCAGGTCTGCCGAAGACATTAGATGATGGCCAGTTGGTCTGACCAATTATACTAAGGAAGCCTAAACTAGATACATTACAGGGAATTATGGAAAAGAAAGCAGAGCTTGTAGCTATGACAGTATATCTGCCTTATCTTTATGGGCTCATTCACACTAACCTGCATGCTAAAACGTTGAGTTTTAGCATGCAGGCTAGCGAGGTGCGACTCATCCGGCGGGTGGGCGGTATGACATTGTTTACTTTTTTCTTTGAACTTTATTTGGAGTGTACACTCCATTCAGGTCCCCGCACAGCATTGTGGTGTAATGCACTGTGGTAACTACTGCTTCTACACAGTGTGCTGTGAAAAAAATGCAGCATGGTGTGAATGGGGAATGTAGAACACAACTGTCTTCTATGTGGCCTAGCAGTGACTGGTGGTGTTCAGTTGCTGAAAAGCACCACTCACCGCTTATAGTGTGATTGAGCCCTTATACTGCCTCTTATCGTACAATTTTTCTAATAATTGTTATGTGACTTTCACATTGTTTACAGTTATTGTTTGCCATTTTCTTGACTATTTTACCAGTATGAGCAGTAGTGAAGATCCCTGTGCGGCACTACTAAGCATTAAAGTAACCTTAAAGGCTCTGCGCCCCCCCCTATGCTGCTTTAAAGGAGAATTATGGGGTAAGTGAATTACAATCACCCCTATATCTAGAGCCGAGGTGTGACATTTAAACTGTCACACGTCGGCTCTATTGATCGGGAAATGAGCGAAAACATACCGCCGCTCGCTCACTTCCAAATCATCCCCCTGCAGAGAGCAGTGACTGTCAGTCATTGTTCTCCACAGGGATTTCCCTTCCCCATTTCTTCAGCACTGACTGGAGGGACGGACATAGCTGGCTCTGCTATCAGAACACCCAGAGGCCACCTCAGGCTCCATGCCTTGGCCTCCATGATATGAATGGCTTGTAAAATTCAGGTGCAATGTGGAGTTAACACTGTGCTTTCCTATGAAAAGAAGTATCCACTCTGCGGTATAAATAGTCCCCTTTGACTGTATGATAACAGCTACAAAAACGCAAAAACGCACTCTTGTCTAGAAACAACTATTACTCTGCGTTGCTCTAGTGACCGTGTCCGGGAGTAATGCCAACCCATTTGTTACACTATCATTGCCAAAGGGAAATATCGTTGTTCAGGCACAGCCAGCATCAAGCTAAGTGCATGAATGTCATTCCCACCAAGCTCCTGCTATAGAGACCAGACGCATTGTGATTAGTCAGAACGGTGTCAGAAGAGTTGTGATTTATGCTGAAAAGTACATTTTTGAATGTTTTTCATTATAAAACTATTACTATACCATCTCTGAGTAAAGTTATCCATAGGTGTAGGACAGCACGTATCAGGCTTGTAAGGGATTGGGAGAAAGGTCATGTATTGCTTTTCTGTTACTGGAATATACAGTATACCTATATGTTGTGTACAATTGCTTGATCAAGAAAGAAAAACCAGACCAGATCATCCAACAAGACAACTGAAAAAAATCCTTTTCCAGCAGCATGCTTTCTATCTAGATTATGAGTCTGCTTTATGCAGGCTCCAGGGTATGAATATGTGTGCCCCAGGGAATGACAGGCAGCAGCTCTAATAAGGTGCAGAGGTGACAGAAGCGTGATTTTGATTACGTAATCAGGTACAAAGCTACACAACTGACAGGAATGTGAACACACAGCATGCAGGGATGTATATGAACAAAGTGTACACCTGGTTTCCTCCTCACACTGCACAATTAGAAGCTGAGGACTGTTTTTAAGGAGGAGCTGCTAAATAACTCTACAGCTTTCCTTGTAGAAGAAAATAAGAGGAAGCCCCGTCTCTGACACCCTGAAACGTGTTGTACCTGTGGCCACCCCCTCCATTGTATCATGCTGATCAAAAGCGGACAAAGGGATCCACCTGCTGCATCATATAGGAGATGAACTAACACTTTCCATGATTATTACTGAACTCCAGGCAGATATTAAAATACACAAATGAATACAGTATGTCTCCGTATTCATTATTACATCACTGAATGTATTTATTTTGTATGTAAACGGTAATTTGACCTGGTATCAGGCTCTTACAGTCCCAGGAATAGCAGAACTGTTCAGACTCCAGAGATGGAGAAGCAGCACAAGGAGCCAGTTAAGCTGGCCAGGCACCTCTTTCGATTCAAGCTCAAATAGCCCATTAAGCACAGGCCAATGTCGAGTTCGATAATCGTTCGTTAGCAATACTAACTTACCGAATTTCGTTCATCAACAGAATGGATTCTCATTTGTGCATGTGCAGTGTACTTGCTGCAATTTTTTTCGTACCAAAACACCACTAATCCATAGATTGTCGTACAATTCGAAAAAGATTTTTGCCTGACCGATCGAAAGAATTCGACCAGAGGTACACTAATTAAAATCGTTGGGTTCCTGTCACTTTATCGATTATCGTTCGAAAGACCATTTGTGGACGTTTATCGAACGAAAATCAATAGGTGTATGGGCACCTTTAGCGTGCTTCAGTGCTTACAATGAGCCAGCTAATAGAACAAGAGAGCAGAGTGATAGAAAAATGAGCTCATCAGTCTGCTGCTTCTCCTTTTACTCACCAGTCACAGGCTGCTGGATTGTTGGGTCCTTCTGCTGCCCCGACAAATTCCCTGGCAATGTAAAATAATATACGTATCGATGTGGCCTAACAACTATGTTCAGGCTCTTTCTAGACACTGGCCATAATAATAAAAAGTCTGCCAGCGGTGCGGCCCCTGATCTCACATTGTTGCACTTACCCTCAAAATGAGGCTACTTGTAATCCGCGAAAAAGAGAAAGGCAATGCAGCCCCCTGCTGGCAGCATCAAAATGTCTATAACAAACAAGTTTGATGCATATAAAAGGTAGCCAAAACCCTCTCACTACCTTGAAACGGCGTGAATGTACTGACGGCAGTCTGACCCACAGGCTCGGTGATGGCAGATGCAGCACAGGTCGCTTCTTCACTAAATGCCTCCGCATCTCTGGGAACCAGACGAGAGGTAGCCTGCATGCTCTGGGGCTCCCCTCTCAGGCTTGCATCTGCAGCTGATGTCAACATGATTCCCTCTTCTCTGCTGGCCGACATCTTCTACCCTGCAGTCTGCCCCCGGCTCTGAGTCTCTGCTCCTCTCCCTCAGTACTCAGCGCACAACCTGCTCTTGGCGCTCTTTATTGAGGAATTCAACAAGCAAAGGGATTGTAAAGGAGGTAAGCCCGTGAGGAAGCAATGCAGGCACAAGTCCAAGGTCCCAAAGCAACAATCTGAGAACAGAAAGGGGCAGGCAGCAATATGGTACAGCAAAGATTACATTTCAGGGGACAGGGAGGCAATCTGGGCACAAGGGGAAAGGTGGCAAGATCACGGGGCAGCAATCCAGGGCATGGCAAGGGACAATCAGCAGGAACACAGGGCAACAATTGTTGGTTATGTGTTTAGATGAAGCACTGAGATCTTGAGGAATGCTGAATTAAGTTTTATTTGCTTATAAGAAGATTACATCTGGATACAGTCTATATAGGAATGCAGAATCAAACAGGAAACCTAGATATCCTAGATAAACATGCATTAGAAAACTAGCTTTGCACTACAGCACCGTCTACTGCTTAAAAGACAGTTACATCTTAATATGTGATTGTATTTCCAACATCAAAAGAGCAAGTCCAGGGTCACAGGGCTACAAGCACAGGGTAGCACTCCAGGCACAGCAAGGTACAGGTAGCCACATCATAGAGCAGCAATCAAGGACATGGCAAAGGACAAGCAGGAATAGGGTGCAGCAAAAACGGGGTAATTGACGCACACTGAGGTAGAGGGAGATTCATGCAGAAGAGGGTCAGGCGGAGTGCTTCCAGAGGGAGATCACAGGGTCCTGAGAGAGTTGGCTGCAGCTCAGGTCCACACAGATAGAAATATCACTCCCTGGCCTGGCCCCTGCTCAGGTATTTAAACCTGAGCTGGGACAAGATCCTGCAGCCAGGCAACCCAATGCTTGGCATCAGGTTGCCCTAGCAAAAAACCCTGCCCCCACTTGACACAGTCGATTCTGGGAGTGCTGCCTTTCTCTAAGGCAAGCACTGTAGAGAGCAGGAAATGGGATGCTCCGTGCCCACCAGGAGAGTGCGGCTCCATGGAAGGGGAAACCCGTAGTCTGCATGTGGCGAATCCACATCGGCGATCTAAATGCCCGGTGCCCTGCCAGGGATACAGGATGAGCAAGCAGTTTCGGTGTAGGGAACTGTACTGGGTCATGGGGACAGTTTGGGGGAA